TAAAGTACGTGACCTTTTCAAGCAGTCTTCTTTCACTTAGTAATAAGCATTTAAGTTTTATCTGTCTTTTCTTGGTGGACAGCTCCCTTCATCTTAGTGCTGAACAATATTCCGTTATTTGGATATATTACATATGCATCTATTCACCTACTGAAGGATACTCTGCTTGTTTCCAAATTTTGGCAATTATGAACAAAACTGCCATAAACATCCATGTGCAAGCTTTTGGACGTACGTTTTCAACTCCTTTGAGTAAATACCCAAGGAGCATAATTACTGGATATATGATAAGCGTTTAATTTTGTAGGAAGCCACCAAACTGTCTTCCAAAGTGGCCATATGATTTGGTGTTCCCATTAGCAATGACTCAGAGTTCCTATTGTTCTACATCGTCACCAGCATTTGGTGTGGTCAGTGTTCTGGATGTGAGCCTTTTTGTGTGTGTGGGGGGGAGCATTCTAATAGGTGTATAGTAGTATCTTACTGCTGTTTAATTTGCAATTCTCTGATGACATACTACGTGGACCATCTTTTCTTTTTTTAAATACTTTTTTGGTCACACCGCTTGACACGTGGGATCTTAGTTACCCGACCAGGGATCAAATTCACACCCCTTGGATTGAATGCATGGAGTCTGAAGCACTGGACTGCCAGGGAAGTTCCTGGAGCATTCTTTCATATGCTTAGTTGCTATCTGTGTATCTTCTTTAGGGAGATGTTTGTTAAGGCTGATTCTGTTTTCATGAAAATAAAAAAAAGCCGTTGTTCCCAATGTGAATGCTTTTCTTCTTCATCTTTTTCTGTAGTGCTTAAAATTTTTAGTGATATTTAATCTTTACAAGAAAAGAAAAGCTAAAAGAATTAAAGTTCTAAACAAAATCCAGGGTTGGAAAGAAAAGGGACAGAGAACCAGGTTGCTTTGGTTTCCCCTCCCGAAGACCATTAAACAGTCTTCACACCTCTGCAAGACAGAAGAACCTGGCAAATGACATCCTACCTATTTCCTTTACTCAGCACCATTTACTGTATCCAAAAGAAGCTTTAAAAAAAAAACAAAAAAAACTGAAAACAGGTAAGACCACAGTCTCTCAAGAGCAATACATTTAATACATTCATAAGATCTCAAATGAGTACATACATGCTACAGGTTTTCAATTTTCTTTGGACAACACAAAAACCACAGTACTCAAATTGTAAGTTTTAACAGGAACATTTTGACACGTGGCAGGTTAAAAAAATAATAAAACCAACATTGAACTAATCCAGCACCAATAGACTTCTTTAAATCTCTCATACTATCCTACTTTTGAAATCATATGGCTGCCTTCTATACCAGCATTTTTTCTTCTCCACCCAACAATTCAACAACAAAAATTAGATAAAAAATTAGAGGTGTGTCACTGAATGAATAACACAACAGATTTTTTTAAAAAGCCCCTTATTTGTTGAATGTTGAAAGAGGAGAATATGATTAGGTGGAAATACTGTAAGGCATTTGATTCATTCACTTCACTCTGATATCAGAGCACAGGAAACGCACTCAAAGGTTAGCAGAAGGATTTAATAAGGATGGCAAGAAAGAGTCCCACATTATTTATAAAAGGAAGGCTGCACTCATGAGTATGAAGAGCTTATAATACCATGGAAAAATATTTTGTTATAAAGTTAAATGAGAAAGTAGAATATAAAACTGTATATTCAGTATGATCTCAACTATGTAAAACCAAGCCAAAAAAAGGCTGGAAGTTCAAAATGTTAAGTTAGTGATTGTATTTAAACAATGTATCTACCTTGATCTTTTCTTCCTTTTATTTTTCTGTCTCTCCCAAAACTTTCTCTACTGGGGAGGATCCTTTTTTTTTTTTTTAAAACCATTAGCTACTAAAAAAGGATGCCTGATAGAAGTACTGAATTCAAATTAATGAATTTAAGTCCAGCCTATAGGCAAGGATCTGGGCATATACAAAACTATAACATATTCCAGGCTACTCTCTAAATCCACAGTGTGTTACCTGTAACATCCCAGAGGCTAGAGGACTTCGTCTTCTCCTCTAGCCAGGTGCAAAGTGTCACCAGATCCTGCCTGATGAAAAACTGCTGAATTAAACAGAAACGTCATGGATTTACAAAAAGGAACAGAAATACCCACACTTGGCAAAAACCAATTTATAGTACAGGAGTAGCTCTTTAATACTATGATTAAACAAGGCAATGGCTATTTTCTCTTATCTCCTGTGTGGATAGCAAGTTTCAAAAAGCTATCACCACAAGAATTGTAGAAAGCTAATCCTGGCTTAGAAACAGAAGTAAAACAGCCCTGTGACAACAATGGACTAAGAAAAGTCAAAATTTAGAAAATCATAAAAAAAAAACTGCTTCCTATAAAAATGATTCCCTTTTAAACACCTGTTTACTGTATATACTTTAAGGTCCCCACTATCACCCCCCCCCCTCAAAAAAAAGGTCAAAACCTCTAAACACTTTCTACCAAAGGACCCACTGGTTTGTTTTTTTCAACTAACACAGATGGAAGGCTCATAATGTGCGAGGCACTAGGGTCTCAAAGAGCAGACAGATTTTCCCCTGCCCCAGGGACATTTCCGTCTCTCAGAGCAGCAGGCGGGCACATCACCAACCACAACACAACAATGAAAAGCAGGAGCCACTGCTTCCTTACAACTCAAGAATAAGCTACAATTCTCGCTGTAATTACTTCCACCAAAGTCCTTACACAGAAACTTTCCTGACTCACTAGGAAGCAAAGATGCAACTACTTTTCCTTGATAAATATTTCTACAAGAGGCAGGCATAATTATTACATTTTGTGATATTTGCCCTTAAACATCACAATGCCCAGTAGTGAGGTCAGTTAACTTTGTTTTAAGCAATGGAGCATTTTCACTCCAAGAATGAGACGAGAAAAGGTAACCAGTCCTAGTTCTGGATCAAGACTTGTCAGGACCGTCAAAAGCTGAGACTGAGGAGTGTAACTTTCAATTAAAAATCTTCAGTCTCCCCTGCCATCCGCTGGTTTTCAATATGCTCCTGTGTCAGCCGCACCAGGTCCTTCTGCACATTGGGGTGGTCTTCCAGATCTTCATAGAGGGATCGCGCAATGTCCAGTCTCCTGTAATCCTCAGGCTTGACTAGGCTTCGCACAACCTGGAGGCACCGCTCTTTCAGGGTGTACACTGTAAGGGCAGAAAACCGACTCAGCAGCAGACTCAGGCCTGGGGATCGAGCGCTCAAGAGGCTTGGCCAACTGAAGCCATTACATTTTCGACAGCTGAACCTCACGCTGGACAAAAAAGGTGAGTAAGTGGGTTGTGGCAGGGTGTTAACGTGATGGCTCCGATAGACATCTCATAGCATTCATGACCCTGTGGAGGAACTTCCCTTGAGAGTGGGCTAAGCCTATGATGTGCTTTAAGTGAATGTGGGCAAAGTGACGCTGTGGTGATTCTGGACTTCAGCCTTAAGAAGCTCTGGCAACGATCGCTTTTACGCCCTCAGGAGCCCTGAGTTATGCAGCAAGAGAGACCACACGAAGAGGCCCAGCCCTCAGGCAACCTGCGAGCAGAGAGCAGCCACACCAGTGACCACCAGAGAGGAGGATGACCCCTGAGTTGAACTCAGCCCTGCCTGCAGAATTACGAACAAGTAAAATGGCTGCTGTTGGGTTAGGGGTAGCTGTCACACAGCAAAAGATAACCAAAACAGCATATAACTGGATTTGGGGGGAACTCAAATCCTATGTTTTTGCTTTTTTTGTCACACCTCACAGCTTGCAGGATCTTAAGTTTCCCTGATCAGGGATCAAACCCGTGCTGTCTGCAGTGGAAGCACAGAGTCCTAACCACTGGATCACCAGGGAAGTCCCTCAAATCCTATTTTTTTTAGTAATTAAAAAATTTTAACTTTTCCTAGAGTAGCATTAAGTAGCAAACAGAAAAAACATGGTAACAAGTTGTGAGAGAGACACAGAAGAAAGGGAAAATATTTTAGCATTTTAAATGGTAGTTTTCCTGATTTTTGGACAAAAGGTCCCACATCTTCATTTTGCACTGGGTCCCACATATTAGGAAGTCAGCCCAGCTGCTGACTACTCTGTTCCTCCCGAGGCAGGTCTCAACCTCTCGTTATTGAAACCTCCTTCTGTCTATAGCCTTTTGGGGATTACAGCTGTCACTGATCTCCTCAAATCCTATTTTTAACTCACTGGGGAACTTATTCTTTAAAGGTCTCCTATAAGGCAAAATTTCCTATATTTTAACTTACCAGTGTTCACTTCTGTATATCCACTGCCTTAAAACAAAATCTATATACACATACTAGTCTGAACCTTATGAAGCCACAGATATTTAGGTTTTTTTTTTTTTAACCCAAAAGATCAGTTTCTTAGGGCTCAACCTAATAAAATCACTTGAGTTTTAAACAAGTGGTAAACTATGAAGCTAATGTTCAGTTTGCTGAGTTTTTTTTTTTAAACCCCTGACTGGCACAGTAAGCTTGATTGGATTAAATTACATTAAAAGATACAACACCAGATGTCATAAATAAGCCATGATATCTCACTCTCTACACATTTTTTTCTCCTGAGATTCCAGGGCATAATTCTACTCCAAGGCCAGGGAAACAAAATGCACTCATAATTCTACAATCAGTTACTTTAATTTAGCCCACTCCTGACAAACCCAAAGAGCTTCTGAGACACCACAACATCTTTGTTCAACATAGAGAATACCAGTAAATTACTTACATTTTATTTATGGTGGAGGATAGGACACAGAAAAGTTGGATACCTTGCCTAGCATCAGGCAAAAATCACTAAGGACTGAGCTCCTTCAAGGGCCTATCCTCTACTTAGCACAACAGCCTATCTTTTTAAAAAGTAAGATGGAACATCGGTATACCTGGCAGTGTTATGTTGGCAAAAATAGGCTGCCCATCAACATTGAGAGATGGCACAAATAGCTCAGTTTGGTTAACCAAAAGCCCATCAGATGTCCCAGCATCTCGGAAGAGCCAAAGGTGACCTGTTAAGACAAGCAGAGGTTAAGTAGTCACATATCTACTGCCTTCATGTCCTCGGACTGAAATACTTGCCTCTCATTGTGCTCGAATACCATACAAAGCCCCCCCAATAATGCTATTCTATGGAATCCTCACAAAAGGCAATGCAGACAGTAGACAGAAGAGCAACTATACCAGGTTCCAAAACGAAGGCCCTTTCTGCTACCTTGGTGCAAAAGCAAAGTATCTGAACTGCAAATCACATCCAATGGTGCAAACTAAAAAGAGAGAGGTCACCAACCCCTCAGATCTGTGCTTCTCAAAAACAAGGTACAAAAACATCACACTGAGAGAAAAAAGCCAGACAGAGAAAGGTACATTCTGTGTGAAGAGATGAAACTAATCAAGGATGTGAAAAATCAGAAGAGTGGAAGGGGGCAAGGGAGAACTTTCTGGGATAATGGAAATATTCTGATCTATAACTTGATCTAGGTATTGTCAAAACCTATTAAATGCTAGGATCTGAGTATTTTACTGCATGAAAATTAGAAAAATGGATTTAAGAAATAAATATATCTTTTGCAAAAAAAAAAAAAAGAGAGAGAGGGGGACAGTTGGAAGGAGACAAAAATCCCAGTCCTAAGATTCTGTTCAAGGAAAGAAGGAGGCTGCCTCAGAATAAAAACAGCATGAGATCCTGGGCATATGTTTACATGATGATTTGGAGGCAAAATTTAAGAAATGTCAAGTGAGAAGTAATGTTTTTTATTGTGATAAAATATACATAACATAAAATTGGCTATTTTAACCACTTTTAAGTGTATAATTTAGGAACATTAAGTACATTCAGAATGTAAGTAATTTTTTTAATGTTAAAAAAAAAAGGCACTGATAAATTTTAGAGAATAAAAAAGTCACACAATTTCCCAGATAAAAGACTGCAGAAATGTGAGTCTCTGGAAGAACTGAATTCTTCCTCATTTAAAAAAAAAAAAAAGTATTTTTTCCCCTAGGATACTATGTGGCCTGCAAGGATCTTAGTTTCCCCACCAGGGATCCAACAGGGCCAGGAGAAAAAGCACTGAGCCCCAAAACACTGGTGCTGTGCTTAGTCACTCAGTCATGTCTGACTCTGTCACCCCATGGACTGCAGCCCGCCAGGCTCCTCTGTCCATGGGGATTCTCCAGGCAAGAATATTGGAGTGGGTTACCCTACCCTCCTGCAGGGGATCTCTCCAACCCAGGGATTGAACCCAGGTCTACTGCACTGCAGGCTGATTCTTTACTTTCTGAGCCACAGGGAAGCCCAAAGAATTCCCATTCCTCATTTACTATTAGGAGAAATTTGGCGTAAAAGTTTGAAGAGCATCACTGACTATGCTATCCTCAAGGAAAAAAGATTCATCAAGATCCTCTGAGAAAGACAGCGAAATTTTAGCAAGCATTAACTTTTTTTTTGAAAACCAAGGGAAGATTACTGCCTCCTTAGGCAGTAAGCCCTAGACATCTCCAGTCTGGGTTATTACAACAGTTTTCTAAGTCTTACCAGTAGTCTTACCCTTCCAAATCACCTTGCATCCTGGGGAAGCTTTTCAGTATTAAATCAGGCAATGCCATTTCTCTGTTTAATAATTTCCAATGGCCCCCATTTTCTTAGGGGTAAAATCATCTTTCACATTTCCTCTCCCACCATTCCATACCCTCTCCCCTCTCCCAGGTTCCAGGTGTCAGGCCATGCGGTTCCGTCTACAGCTCTCAACTCCTGTCTTGGGTTGGTCAGATTCCATGCATCTTCCAGGATTCCCCTTCTTTTCCGGGAAGCTCCCCTAACTGAACGCACACACCCTTTCCTTTCACTGAGCAGGTGCAATGCTGTGCTCCGTTCCTACTGCAGCAATTATGACACCGGCTTCTTCTTAATCTATTTGTGTATTTGTGTCTTCTGCCCCACTGAACAGAAGAGACACTTCATGAAGGCAGGGACCCGACGCGGACCGGCTCACTGGGCACACCGGAGAATGTGGGATTCTCCTAATCATAAACTGAACAAATGGGCGTGAGGGATGGAATACACGTGGGGTTGATCTTCAAATGCAAACTACTCAGTCTTAGAAAGATACTCTGTCACTTACTAGTTGCGTCAACTTGAATCTGTCACAACCTCTCTTGGGGCCTCAGTTCCTCGAGAGTAAAATGGGAATAAAAATGACAACAGCAGCTGCCTCCCCAAAAAGGGGTGGGGATTCGGTGAGACCGAGCCACCGTCACCGTGGTTTTCAGGCCTAGAGCGCGGCTCGCTGCGCTCAGCTCAAGGGGGCGGCGCGGCCGGGCGCGACAGGGCGACCCCGGCCCGCCTACCTCTGTAGCTGTGGATGCGGCGGCCCGTGCCGGGGGGCAGCGTCGGGTAGGGTTGCGGCTCGCCATCGAAGTTGAGCCACACGGGCAGCACCACGCGAGGGCTGCGGTTGCAGAAGATGACCTGGGACGGCTCGCGCGTGTTCACGGAGCGCAGCACCGGTCGCAGCCGCCCGGCCTCCATCTCCCGCTCGGCGCCGGGTTCCTCTGCACTCGCCTCCTCAGCGCCGGCCTCAGCCTCTTCCGCGTCCCCCGCCTTCCGGGGCATTACCTCCGAGAGCCTAGACTACCCCGGCCTCGCGGGATTCGCCGGTCGCGCGGGGCGGGGCGGGGGTTGCGTGCGCGTCCCCGGGCAGGCGTACGTGCGGCTTTCGCGCGCTCTGGGTGGAGGATGGAATACACCCTGAAGATGGCAGGCTCGAGGCGGTGCGCATGCGCAGATGTATCACCTAACCTTAGGGGACTAATCTTCTCTGAGGCGGAGGGTGGCGCTAGGCCATCTTGCCCCAGGGTTTCCTCTGAACATTGGATTTTTGTGCCTCCCATAGGTTTTTCTTTAGCTTCATTCATTGCCTTAAGACCGTCATGATTTTTGCCATATTCTCCCTACCATCTGCGCTATTATTTATTTACTAATTTTATCAATCAAGTTGTTTGGTCTCCATTTTGGATCACAAAATTTGAGTTTTGTACAGAAAAGTAGGATAAAGTGAATTTTCCCTTTCATCCTAGTTCCCCCAACCACCTCAAAAGTATCCCTGGAGGCAGTAAGTATCATCAGTTTTTTGTACTTCCTTTCAAAGTTTTTCTAGGCATACCCAATTGAACACATCTGAGAAGAAATTTTATATCACCACCATCAATGGAAATTCTTTCATTTGCCACAAGAGAATACAGAGGAAATAAGTTAAAACAAGTTATTAAACAAACACAGACCTTAACACTGACATTGTTATCATTGCAAAAGTTTACATATTTAAGAGGAAGGAAAACGTATTTTGGGTATTCTAAGTCCAAGCTACAGGCTATGTTGTTCTTAGAGTACATTTTACACTATGCCAAACAAGTAGAGAGAAAAAGAAAATGTGTTCGTTTTTCAAAACAACTAGTTTTTTTTTTTCTTCTACTTCTCTGCCTTTTCAGAATTTTCTTTTAATATATATTTTGCCTTGTTTATGCTTCCCTGGTGGCAGAGTGATAAAGAATCCACCTGCCAAGCAGAAGGTGCAGGTTTGATCCCTGGGTTGGGAAGATCTCCTGGAGATGGAAATGGCAACCCATTCCAGTATTCTTGCCTGGGCAAATTCCATGGACAGAGGAGACTGTTGGGCCATGGGGCCCCAAAAAAGTTGGATACAACCTGGCAACTAAACAACAATATTTTGACCAATTAAAAAGTATAGAGTAATAAAGCAAACACTGATAATCTCACCATATAAAATAAACAGTACATTGTCATATTTACTTTTTAAAGTTAAGACAACATAAATGACGAGGCCAAAATTCCTTTAACTTCCACCTTCTGTTTCCCCTCCTTCTTCAGAGGCAATAACTACCATGAGTTTGATGTGTCTAACCAGGCTATTTTTTCCCCCTAAATTTAAATTTCCATATGGTAGAGTTCACTCTTTTTTGGTGTATAGAGCTGTGTTTTGATAAAATGCATAGTCATGTAACCATCAGGACAATCAAAGTACAGAACAATCCACCCTCTCCCACCCCCCAAAAATGAGTGTAATCAAACCCTACCCCCAGGCTGAAGTCTTGGCAACTATTGATACATCTTTGTTCCATCTCTATAGTCTTCCAGACTGTCATATAATGGGGCCACACAGCATGTAGAATTCTGAGTCTGGCTTTTCACCTAGTGTGCTTGAGATTCATCAATATTGTAGAACGTAGGAAGTTTATTCATCACCAAGTGGTACTCCACAATACATTCACCAGCTAAGGGACACTGAGCAATCATGAATAAAGCTGTATTTGTATACAGGTTTTATGTGTGTGTCCCTTAAGCTTTCACTTCTCTTAGGTGAGAATCATCTACAGATGAGACTGCTGAGACACAGTCAGTACATGCTTAACTTCATGAGAAATCGCTCAACTGTTCTCCCAGAGTGGGTTATATCATTTTGCATTCCTACCAGCAATGTATGGGCGTTCCAGTCGCTCCACATCCTTGCCTGCATAGTATTATCAGGATTTTGTGCATTTTGAAAAATTTTAGCCATTCTGATAGATTGCGTAAGGTGGTATCTGGCTGAGGCTTCAATTTATATTTTCCCAATGACTAACAATGTTGAAGATCTTTCATGACCTTGTCTGTCATCCTTTTGTCTTTGAATTATCAGTTCAAACCATTTGTCCATTTCTTTATTAGCTTGTTATCTTAGCTGTTGAGTTTTGATAGTTCTTTTATCCAGAACAACTTTGTTCATGATGATGAGATGACTGAGAACAATCTTGATTCAGAAAAGCTGGGTACAATATTAACATTTAACCTCTCTGAACTCCTAATTTCCAATGGGTCAAATCAAAGGAGCTATCCTATCAACATCTTAATTTGTTATAAAAGGATAAAACATTTTATGTTTAAATTTAAAAACCTCAGTGACTTAGTATGGATTAAAATGCAAACCATGACTTCATTATCATCAATGAGAGTGAAATGTATCAGAACTCTAATAAGTTGAAGGGACACATTGGGGTCAAAATAAATGGTGGTTTGGTGTAACACTATTTATGGGCTGAAATGACCTATGTGCAAAGATGTGTATAACCTGAGAAATAAATCCCAATTTCTGGAGCCTGACCAAATATGGTCTTTCAGAAGAAGGAAACCCACAGATAGCGAGGCCAAGTGCCAGAGTTGATAAAATTCCCTAGGCAAGACTTCCAGAAAAGACAAGACACAAGCGCTCAGAGAAAGGAAGCTGGAAGAAGTGAAACTTGACAACACAGACATCAATGTGAACAGCATTTGCCAGACACAGCCAGGAAAACCCATGAAGCCTTCTTTACCAAAAGAAGGACAGTGAAGAGGCAGGTAAAACTAACATTGCTGTGTAGCAGCTTAAAAATTATTTAATAGCATTCAACTAGGGATGAGAAAGTTGTAGATCTGGTTATACCACATTCAGAAGTAGAATGAGTCAGATATGTCTAGGTCCATATTCTAGCACCTTTACTTACTCTGTATGACTTGGCACAAGTTTCAGCCTCTCTAAAGAAGTGCATGGAGGGACTTCCCTGGTGGTCCAGGGGTTAAGACTTTGCCTTCTAGTGCAGGGGTTGCAGGTTCGATCCCTGGTAGGGAAGCTAAGGTCCCACAAGCCTTGCAGCCAAAAAACCAAAACACAAAATAGAAGCAGTATTTTAATAAATTCAATAGAGACTTAAAAAATGATCCACATCAAAAAAAAATCTTAAAAAAATTTCATGAAGAAAGCCTACTTGTTAGGGCTTTAGGATTAAATGACATAAAGTACACATAGCACTTAGAACATTTAACACATGGTAGCACTCAATAAATTATAGATAATGCTGGTTATATATCCCTGAGTGAGCTGAGGCTCAATATATAAAGGGGGTGATTACACAGGAAAGCACCCTGACACCTCAAAGTATCAGGTAAGATGGAGCAGTTACCTCTACTAGAGGAGGCTGGGCTCACTGGTTCCCATACCAGTTGTTTTCCCTACAACTAGTAGCTTACCATTAGCAACATCATATTATTTAGGGCACTATTTTTCTTTTAGAAATATTACTTTAATATCAATAGGAATGTCTATAGCACCATAGAAATTATCATTTTCACATGTCATCTAAGGAAGATTACCATCATTTTTGCCTCTATTACTAACTCATTATAGTCACTGAATATAGTAGGAATTTGATAAGTATCTGTTAAACTAACTGCAGAGCACCAGATAATCTAAAACCTGAACTTCAGGAATAGTAACTTTTTTTATCCCGGAAAGGACAGGGAAGATATTATGAATAACAATCTCAAGCAATTGTTAAAAGCGTATCAGATGAGCTCAGTAACGTTCAAAAACAGCCATTACCAAAGTAAAGGATGACAGTTTTGCCTCCATTGTAACATTACCTTTTTAAATGAAGGTACTACTTCAGATGGTCTTCCAAAGGTCTAAACAAGGATCTAAGCACAGATGTGTGCTCGCAGCTTGAGCTCTGCAAGTCACTTCAATTGCTATTTACTGACTGCCTGCCTTCTGCAAAGTACCCAGCTGGACAATACGAGACTAAGGTGCTCAGATATACTGTAAGATGCAGATGCTAAGTCAGAGAACAAGATCAAACTCAGGGCTGAGTAGGATGGGTAGGACTGAGAAAAGCAACACTGCAGCACTCAATGAAAAGGTAGTCAGGAAAACTTTATGGAGGACGCTTGCCTTAAGTTAGACCTTCAGTGGCAAATAAGATCTGAATAGGGAGGAATTACTTCTATGTGACTAAAATGAAAATTCTAAATGGGGGTAAGCCTAGTGGGTTGGCACAAGTTTATAGTAAGCTTTGATGCTAGAATGAAAAGTTTTAGACCCTTCTGTTTAAATGATTTCCTTTTAAAAGTAGACATTTATCACCAGCCCAGGTTGGATGCATGAGACAAGTGCTCAGGGCTGGTGCACTGGGAAGACCCAGAGGGATGGGATGGGAAGGGAGGTGGGAGGGGGGATCGGGATGGGGAACACATGTAAATCTGTGGCTGATTCATGTCAATGTATGGCAAAAACCACTACAATATTGTAAAGTAATTAGCCTCCAACTAATAAATGAAAAAATAAAAAATAAATAAATAAAAGTAGACATTTAGCTTATACCTAATAAAACTCACTGTCTGCCATGGATTGCAGTTAAACTATGTAGATGCTGGTATTTCAATAGACGGTAAGCATCACACCTGATTCAACACTGTATATTTTATTGGAGCATTAAGTCCCTACATAGTAAGTACTTGGTAAATGTCTGCTGAATGACCAAAGGATTCCCAGGATGAATGAGCTCAAAGTCCAAATATGGGGCTCCAGCTTGCAAGCCACCTAGGCTTTGATCAGACGGCTACATCTGAAAGTTTTGTTAGATTAAGAATCGCACACATCAGATTTCTGTGGAAGAGGTGCACCCCGTCTCTAGCTCCTCTCCCCACCACAATCACAGCAGTCAGATAAAGTTGAGGAGTTTATTAGGGAAATATGAGAGGTAAAGACACCCCAAGTGACAGACAGAAAACTCTGAAAATGTCCCTTTTCAAGCCAAGTGGGGGCCTGGCCTTGACCTCCCCAAAAGGACAAGAAACTGGTAGGTTAGCAACAACATTCTCTGGCAGCCACCTCGCCAGGGCATTTCAGCCAGGACTGCTTCCCACTCCCAGCCAAAGGTGGGAAGAAGACAAGGACTGTTTATAGAATCAATGCACAGGCAATGAGAGCTATAAGGAAAGACTCAGAGAGAGAGAGAAGAGGAGGAGAGAGAGAGAGAGGTGGGGAGGACCTTGACAGAGTCCCAGGCTTTTGGCTCTCAGTGCCTCAAATGTGTTGACAAGTAGTTCTACAGAACGTTACTGAAGAGGTAAAATGCCTAACAATGTTTCCGAGAGGTCCCCTGGACTGCTCCCCACATGCCACATCACACTTCTGGGTGTGCATGGCTGAGCCCAAAGGCCACACTTTTGAAAAGAAGAAAAACAAGAATAAGCCCTGTTGTTCTTTAAGGAGAGAGGAAGGAGCTGAAGGCTGCTGGGGCCTTTCCCACAAGAGGCTGCGTGCCGTAAGAGCAAACTTCCCAGCAGCAGCATGGCACAGTCCTAGGTGAGGGTTTCACCTTTTGTCACCTGTCAAAGGAAAACTGACAGTTAGATAAATTCAAAAGCATTAGCAGCGTCTAAAATTTTATTAAATTTTTATATCCTAGGTAGCTGGGGAGTGGTAGAAAAAGGCAACAGCTTCGGAGTCCCAGAAAGCAGGTTTAAGTTCGGGCAAGGTACTTAACTTCTCTAAGCCTGTTTCTGCTTCCAAGTTTTTGCAGCAACAAGTGAGAACGTGCATTCTCTCTCACATAGTCACGCCTGCCTCATGAGGAAGCCCTGTGCCCGGCATACTCACCCTGGCTTCTATGTACTCTATTCTCCGTTCGAGAGCTGTCAATTTCTCGTTCAGTGTTGCGAGTCTTGAGCGACAAGACATATCTGGTGAAAGAAGATGGACGTTTAGGATTAATGCCATTCCAGACGCAGACACATGCCAGCCCCCTAAGATGAAGAGGAGGAATGCTGTATCATGCAAGGCACAAATGGGAGCGAGTGGGCAAGGCAAGGCAGTGGGAGGATAAGGTGAGAAGCATCTTAGGAACACAGCTGCTTAGGGAGGATCTGCTTAACCTCCTACCAAATGTGACAGGCAGAGAATACTGCTCCCCCTCAAGATGTCCAGACTTTAATCCCCAGAACCCACAAATATGTATCTCACAGGAAAAGGCACTTTGCAGGTGTGGCTGAGGTGAAGGACCTTGAGATTCTGGATTACCCAGATGGACCCCATGTAATCACAAGTCCATAAATATAGACATGAAAGGCACGAGAAAGGCAGAAGAAGGATAAGGGATGTGAGAGGGACTCAACCTGTCACTGCAAGCTCTGAAGGTGGAATGAGGAGGGCATGAACCAAGGGATGCAAATGACCTTTAGAAGCTGGGCATGGTCCTTAGCTGACAACCAGCAAGGAAATACGGATCTTATTCTTACAGCTGCAAGAGAATGAATTCTGCCTACAAGCTATGGGCAAGGAAACAGCTCCTCTCCTAGAGCCTCCAGCTGAGGGAGGCAGGCTCTGGGCTGACACTGATTTCAGCCCAGCAAACCACTGCTGGACTTCACATGTACGTGACTTAAGATAACAAATGTATGTGGTTTGCGCCACTACATTTGTGTTAATCTGTTATGGCAGCCATAGAAAATAAAAAACTGGTACACCAAGGCTGTAGAGATGGCCACTTGATAATTAATGGGCAAACCAAGAGTTTCCAAGAGAGGGGAAGTGACACGAGGAAGAAAATAATCTCAATAGGGAAGAAAAGCAGAGGCCAAGGAAGCCTCAGACCTTGAGAAGGTGTTGCACCACAAGAGCAACACCTTGTGGTGTTGCTGAGCTCATGGAGGCCCTGCCATGCTGCTACTCTTGGGGCACTTGATGACCCAACAGTTCCTGCACAGGCCTTTTGGAACAAGAGAAAACCTGGAGAGTATCAAAAACACTGTGGGGCCCGCCTTCCATCTGCAAAAAGTTCCTTTTCTTCCTCTACCTTTTCCAGTCTCTTTTACCACCTCGCCCAAAAGGAAACCTAGACGTGCCCTAAGATACCTTTTCTCCTACAAAACTTCTCTAACAGAAATCACTTGACCACTCTTCCTCCAACTGTTCTCAACATTCCAGGCACGCTAATTATTCCCACCCTCCTCCAACACTGATGTTCAGTCATCACTCAATAATCCTCACTTCTGAAATTCTAATTATCTGCTCTCCAAGACAGTCTCCCACCCAGTGATTTAACACTTAGCTCACGATCACGATCCTCCTTTTCAACTCTTCCTTAGATGTTATGCAAAAGTACTTCGCACCCAATGTAACAAATCTCCCACACCCTGATTCTTGCCTCCACTTTCATTTCATCAAGTCCAAATCTTAATTCATCCTGCCTGTCTAAGTATTCTCCTTCAAGTCAGTTCAAAGTGGACATAATCCTCCCTCTTCTGTAAGGATTTGCCTATCCTGGACACTGTTCCTTCTTCTTTTAAATATTGAGTTTGCTTTTTTTTAAACACCAGATATAGTTTGTACTGGGGTACAGCCAATTAACAATGTTGTGATAGTTTCAGGCGAATAGTGAAGGAACTCAGCTATACATATACATGTTCCTAGCAGGGGGGTGTGGGGTGGTGTGCGCGCGCGCATGCGCGCGCGCCTGTGTTTAATCTGCAAATGCTGCTGCTTCTAATTCCCAGGGCCAACAGGACCTCTTTTCAGCCTGGTTTTTAGAAACTCAAACGCTATTCAGAATGAGCACGCATGTTATCACTGACAACCTGTCATTTCCCATAAAAAAAGTCATGGCCAAAATGAAGGGGTGGGGTGGTGAGAGGGAGGGTTCCTTCCTGGGTGGCTGTTCTGTTCCAGCTCTGTCAATCTGGTGATGAGTCAGAACCCAAGAACAACACCATGTTACTGGCCTGCACGGATAAGCACTGGTGAAAATTTAACATGTTGAACTCTAGAAACTTCAGTTATATTTCATATTTCATTAAATACATACTAGTTCAAACAAAATACTGGGAAAGCACCTGGCAGCTGGACAAATTTGAAACCACAATGCATTTATATGTACATTATCATCAGCCTGTAACTGAAAATGCCATCTGTCCTCATCAGGGTGTTTAAAGGTCATGTAAAAATGCATACATGACCACTGCTAACAAATGCCAGTTATCAAACAACTTCTCTCAACTCTTACTGCACATAACTTTAGCCTACAAAAATCAACACTGTCTTTCTCATAAGATCTTATTTCTCCAAAATGAAAGTGAAAGTGTTAGTCACTCAGTCATGTCTGATTCTTCGCATCCCTATTGACTGTAGCCTGCCTGTCCATTGGATTCTCCAGGCAAGAATACTGGAATGGGTTGCCATTTCCTTCTCCAGGGGATCTCCCCAACCCAGGGCTCGAACCCAGGTCTCCCGCATTGCAGGCAGACTCTTTATGGACTGAGCCACAAGGGAAGACTTTATTTCTCCAACAAAATTCTAAACCTCTTAGAAGTGGCTCTGTCCATTTATTCTTATTTATTCCTTTCTCACAGCATCTGACACACAGCTGGAGTCACAACAGGCAAGTAATATTTGTTGGCTAAGTATTAAAAAAAATCGAGATTTAAAAATAGCTACACACTCTGTCTTTTTGGTTACATGTCTCTGCATGTATTAGCTTCAGAGTCAGGGAAAAAAGGTATAAAAATAAAAAGCTATCATTTGTAACAATCTAGTTTTAGAAACTTCATTCATTCAAAGTACAGAAAAGGCCCAGTGTTAGGATGCTTGTGGTACATCATGATGCATGTGATGCTTTGAGCGTCCTCCCACGCTCAAAGAGAAAACCACAAATGGATCAAAACCCTACTCTCACCAGCCAGAATCACAGGGTAAAGCTGTTCAGAGTCATTAGGTATCCTGGAAAAACAATTCCCTCTCCAAAGCACATGGCCTACACAGCCTATTATGGTCAGGGTGAGAACTGTAGGTTTGCTGCCATTTTCAAAGAGCTACAGATGCCCCCTTAAAGGAAACACCTGCTAAACCTCTGTGCCACCAAATCACATTACACACAATACAAGCCCCCCAGCCACACATCAGAATGGAAGAGTCATGCAAATGGCTTAGAATGGGAAAATACATCCCACACTCATTCATCCTGAGTCATCCAATGCCAAGACAATGTACTCAACTATCTTTATGATTTATCCAGTTTCTCAGCCTGTTGGTCTTTGTCTAAACTCTTATATCGTGATATCGTCAATCTTCGGGACCTTGCCTCAGGTATATCTAACTGCTAAGTCAAATTGCTTTAACCTTTAATTTTGCTTCCTAATTATTCCTATTTGTAATTAACTGCTCTTTTCTTTAAAAGAAGGGCTAAATCCACTTTCTAAAATCTTCAAAAATCACCTAGTAATTACTAATGTTAGGCCATTATCCCCACCTTAAAGGAAAATAATGGCCAAAGTCAAGCAAAACTATTTCTTCCAGCTCCTGAAAGACTGGAATCCTGTGTGTCTATTTCCTTAGTCAAGGACTTGCTGGAAATTAAAAAAAGAGAGAGAGACAAAAGCCTTTTTCTTCTATCTGATAAAATGTAACTCACATGTATTTGATAAAATCTCACAGTAGCATATATTTCCTTGCTTATATAGCAAGAAAAGACACATTTCTCCTCCACAAATTCTAAGCTCAAATACTTCAATTTTTGGTTAATTCCAAGACTCACCAACTAAAACTACAGTAACATGCCAAAAAGTTTTATGTCAGAGATGAATGCATATTTATTATGTTTATTAATATGACTGAAAGTGAAAGTTGCTCAGTCGTGTCTCGACTCTTTGCAACCCCATGGACTGTATGTAGCTTGCCAGGCTCCTCTGTCCATGGAATTCTCCAGGCAAGAATACTGGAGTGGGTGTATCCATTCCCTTCTCCGGAGGATCTTCCCAACCCAGGAATTGAACCAGGGTCTCCCGCATTGCAGGTGGATTCTTTACCAATTGAGCCACAGGGAAGCCCAAAAATACTGGAGTGGGCAGCCTATCCCTTCTCCAGGGGATCTTCCTGACCCAAGAATCAAACTGGGGTTTTCTGCATTGCAGGTGGATTAATATGACTGAATGCTCAGAAATGAAGTTATTAGATTACCTAGAGACAAACTGGGGGAATTGAGACACTAGGTCACTTTTAATTATGAAAAACAGCCCCAGTTTAACTTATTTTAGATGCTTTATTTACTGAATTGACATTCTTAATACTCTGTTAGGATATTCTGTGTCTACATATCAGATATTAACTCCTACCATGTAAATGAAGTCTTTTACTTCTGGTTTTAAAAGTAAAAGCTCTCAGGACTTCCTTGGTGGTCCGGTGGCTAAGATTCTGTACTCCCAATGCAAGAAGCCCAGGTTCAATCACTGGTCAGGGAACTAGACCCCACATGCCACAACTAAAAATCCCAGTTGCCTCAACAAAGGTCAAAAAGCACAGCCAAATAAATAAATATCTTTTAAAAAGTAAAAATTCTTTGTCAGTTATTTGTCCAACCACATTCCACTGCTTCTCCAGTCTAAGCCAAAGTTTCAAAGATGCCATTCTGTCATCACTCTATCCCTCCCTGTGCATGGAATATTTTGTTTTATCTGGTCCTTCGTCTGAGGAAAAGTTATGAGTATAAAGTGCCCTAAAGAACCCCCATAATAGTTCAGCTCTCTAGGGAAGCAGAAGAGACAATCAGGAGAACTAACACTGGAAGAGTTTGCACTGAAATTTAAAAAATAATTTCAGGATACATGAGTTCTATGATCTCTTGACTACCATTTCCTATTACAACCACTATAGTAAGTTATATGGGTGAATTCGTGTCACTGACATAAAATTTATCCTGTTCTTGTCTCTCATTAATACTAACATCGCTCCCATTCCCGAAGTGAGGAAATCCACTAAACCAAGACACCTTGTATGTAAATATATTAAAACATAAACAATATTCTGCTTTGTTCTGAAGGTGTCATTATTTCATTTTCAAGACAGAAATTCTTTAAAGGCAGGAAAATGATGCTTTTCCCCCCACCGAGCCTAAGAGAGAGGCTTGTACTCAAGACTTAGTTTCTCTTGCAGATGCCTTCTGATCAAACTTTTGCTCTGTCTTTATACTCCTTAGGATGTGTTTCTCTAGCTAGAAAATAATTCCTTTTGAAATCTTTTCTTATACATCATTTACCCCTCCTTAATCTTAAGCATTTAACATTGCTAGAAGAATGGACCAGAAGCACACCAGTTGGAAAAATGTCATTCCCACTCCTTGTAATGACACAGAAAGTCTACCGAGTGCTCAGTTCTGTCAAAGAAACACTTGGAGGAGGTAGGGGTCTCTGCTAGGGGCTTGCTGTCCAGAAGGATGTGGGACAAAGCGGAAAGAATTCAAGACTGTCACGAGTAGGCTAATGCCTACGAAAGATTTTGCTAGATGCAGAACACCCACTGTCGGTTTCATACTAGCAACGCAGAGATGTCCATGGCGTGACAAGATGTGGACCTTACTTTGCCCTCGTCTGCTCCCGCTCAGCACAGGACAAGAGGGACTGACAGAAGGGGCCGGAGCGGCGACTGGAAGGCTCGATCCGAAAGGAGATGGGAAACCTCTAGTCTTTACAGGGTAATGACAAGATCATGCTGCGTTCTGAGAGCCAAGTGGGAACTGGAAACGAAGCACAGAGAAGGAAGGGAGGCGACTGAAGAGAAGAAAAGGCGCAGACGATGTACTGGGTTGCCAGGACGTGTCCGGGAAAAGGAAAGACTCGATAATGGATCCGGGGTAAAGGCAAAGCTGCCGATGAGCTCGGTGTGGGGCAGGGTAACCCCATAGGGACTGTCCAGTGGAGCCCGGGGTCAGGGCGAGAGGGGGAAGGTGCGGCCTGAAGGAGGAAGCGAAAATCAGCAGGAGCCTAGGGCACTCAAGACTCCCCTTCAAAGCTTCTCGGCGCCCTCCCTCAGCGGGCTTCCCTCTTCCCAGCCTCCCCCTGCTCGCCCGCTGACCGAATGAGTTGAGAAAGTCTGCGATTTTCTTGATGCTGCTGGTGATGACCTCAATGTACTCCCGGTTCGCCCAGTCCTGGTGAATCTCCCGCTGCACCGGGTCCTCTTGTCCCGCCATGGCTGCTGCCTGAGGAAGCGCGGCTGCGCAGGCGCCTCGACCCTCCAGGCCGCCAGGGCGCCTGCGCCGCTCTCCCACACCCTGGCCCGGGTACCCACGAATCCCAGGGCCTTGTGGCGCGCCTGCGCATTGTCAAGTCCTCGGTGGCGACTTCGCTTTGCTCCCACGCCCCTGAGCAGACCCGCCCCACGCCGAGGAGGAAAATAGGGTGCGCAGACGCAAAGATCCCCCTCAATTACCCACCTCCGTCTCTGGCGGTTATGGTCGTTGGGGGTTGGGGGGGCGGCGCATGGGGCCGCATTCACCCCTTCTCTCAAGTGCTCCCAAGTAAGCTTGCGATCTATGTCCAAACCAAGCTGGGCATAACCAATTAAACCACATTAAATACAAATCATTGTTTAAATGCCTTTTAGACAACAGAGCATGATGTGCCACTTTGCAATTATCGAATGAACAAACTGTGGTTTTTTTCAGTTATGAAGAGGCTGAGGGGAAATCGATAAACGTCGCAATTAGCTGATCACACTAAACTGACCGTCTCTTCAGAAGGAAATTTGTAAATTGATAGCAAGAGCTGTATATATTCTCAAACTTTTTGAATTATTTAACAAAATTATTGAAAAAAAAAACACTTTCAGTGCAGAGGTGTTCTTTGAGTTAATCTGTTTTTTAAAAATCTCAACAGTTGCTGCTGTTGCTGCTAAGTCACTTCAGTCGTGTCCGATTCCGTGGGATCCCATAGACCGCAGCCCACCAGGCTCCTCCATCCTGGGGATTCTCCAGGCAAGAACACTGGAGTGGGTTGCCATTTCCTTCTCCAATGCATGAAAGTGAAAGTGAAAGTGAAGTTGCTCAGTTCCTGTCCGACTCTTAGCGACCCCATGGACCGCAACCTACCAGGCTTCTCCATCCATGGGATTTTTCAGGCAAGAGTACTGGAGTGGGGTGCTATTGCCTTCTCCGCCTCAACAGTTGGGGAATGGCTAAACTTTGGTATAGCCACTCAGAGCAGTATTATGCAGTCATTTAAATGCTAATCAGGAAAAATACTATGGCAGCATAACACAGATGATAAATTGAAGGGGAAAACAAAATACACTTTTTTTTAAAAATTGCAACTATGCAAAATTATTCAAGAGGAAAATAAAAATAAACTTACTGGGGTAAAATGTGGTAAGTTAAAATCATTTTAGTCTCTTCCAAGATTCATCATTCTCTGTCCCTTTCCCCTCTCTGCCACCAGCTTCTCCAACTCTCTCCACTTATCTCTCCTTCCACAGGGATGCACATACATACAGTGGGCACCTAACAATCCTTGACAAGTCCCTAAAGACTATCTGGTCTTCCAAACCAGGATCTCAGCCTGACCCCATCCCAGAGATGCCCAGTCTCTCCACTTCAGCTTCACCCAGAGTCACACAAGCCTGACTGCTGTTTGCACTGTGTTCCCTGGGTTCACAAAGTGCATGGCCAGTTTCTGGGTAAGGGGAAGGGCAGGTGGGCCATTGGTTAATTCTTCCTACAAATACTGCACCCTGCCAGGCACTGTGATAGTCAGGCACTGTGGATATAGCAGTCAACTGGGTAAACCTACCTCTCCCCAGCCTTCCAGAGTAATTGTTTGCAATGAAGTTCACAAGTAGCCAAATCACTCTTTTACTAAGGTGAAAGTGTCAGTTTTTCAGCTTTCTGAGAATGAGAATCTTCCTTTTTGAAGTTTAACAGAAAGCAAAGTTTTTGGTTGGGAAGTCAAGGAGAGATGTATCTTTCTCCATCTTGACAGGGGAGCACCTGTCTGGGTCCTTGCACTGGGATTATTCAATGCAGCCACAAAAAGCCTTCAGAACTCTGGGTAACTCAGGGCAGGGTATAAAGGGTAGCGCTTACCTTTTAATACTAACCACAGCTCCCCCCTCCCCTGACATTTATGCAGGCAGGTTCCTGGCTAGTCTTTGAAATGGGCTCCGTAGTCCTCTTTGACCAGATGGATCAAAGGCACATCGCTGTGGCGAGGTGGGGAAGAGGTGGAGGGGAACAGAATTCGGTTCAGCACTCCTGAAGGCTGAATCCCGGACCAGCTGTTCCAGTGAGATGAGGGCTCCGAGCGAGCGGGGCGCTTCGATCCCCCCGCTCACCGCGCCCCTTCCGCGGTTCGGGCTCTCCCCGCTCCCCACCCCCAACCCCTCCCGCCCCGCCGCCACGGTCCTGGGTCACAAAGGTTGTTGCCAAGCACCCGGTGGAGAAAAGATGCGGCCAGGGAACAGCCGCCGCCACTCTGGAGCGTGAGGCCCGCGGAGTTCAGCAGGTGAGACCACGGCCCGGATGGTGGGACCGGGCCCGGGGTCCCATCACCACCTCCGCCTCGGCCAGATCCGCCCGGCCCCTGCCTGGGGGTAGGGATCCCTGGGGGACAAGCCCCTCTTCTGACTGGGAGGGGGAGCCTGCCCCTCTCAAGGCAGCTCCAGCCCCTCGGGATCACAGTTCGTAAGGACCTCAGCTGCACTTTGACGTGGTCTTCCCCGTTCCCAGGTGCGGAAATGAAGGGACTGGGTTTCTTGACATGGGAGGAAGGGTATGAAAGGAAAACCTTTGGGGCTAGAAGCAGGTGTTCCCTACCTGGGAGCTCTTAGAGCAGCTTGAACAGGCTGACTAGGTTCAACTCCTTCTGAAGTGGATGATGGAGACTCATGGCTGGTAGGAGTGAGTGGTGAACTAGCTTTATTTGATCCTTATGTAAAAGTGGTGGAAGGGACCTGGGGTCGGACGCCCTCTTTCATCCTATGTTGGTTCTGCTGAGTATTCCAGCTGGACATTTGATAAAGTCTTTTCCCTCTGGCCCTATTTCCTCTCAAGAAACAAGGAAGAAAGGCTCCTGGATTTTTTTTTTTTTTTTCCCGTATCATATATTCAGAGTTAACACTCTCCACCCCCACCTTGCCTTGATGGGGTACCAGAGCAGCCCTGATCCTGGATGTGTGCTCTTAGGGTCAGAATATCAAGTACCAGAAGCCTTTCACAGGCTGTTTCGAACAGATAACTATCCCTTGGATGTCACCTTCTCATCCTAAGGCAGTCCTGATATTTGAACACAGTATGCACAAGAGCTTGCATACCTCAGGAGAAACATTCCCAGCTGGAGAAATCAACAAATCTTTCTACTAACAACTGTCAGGGGCAGGTCTTCTGTTTCAAATGTCACCAACAATTCTCTTTTCAAAACAAAACTTCACTGTCTCACAAACTATGGTGAGGGTGTCAAACTTCTGGGCCATTACTGGGTGGGATGGGATCCCATTTGCTGCTACCTTTGTGAAAGAATTGTGAAGGTACAGAGAAATATATTTGACTATAAAGAAAAGGGTCTGCTGTGCCCCTTATCATAGTAGGTAGTGCTGAATGTTACATTTCTCTTGAATTCAGTGAAATCCTTTATATACTGACAATTTTAAAGTAGAAAGATGGAAAGTCTAAATTCTACTTGGGTAAATTTTGAGTTAGCAACATATCCTCCGCGCCTTTTCCTTTATCTTCAAAGAAAGGAAAAAATCTCAACCAGTGGGTCTCTCACAGATAAGAAAAAAAAACAAAAACAAAACATACCCAATGAAGTGAATGTTGCTTAGTCATGTCCGACTCTTTGCGACTCTATAATTCTGTATAGTCCATGGAATTCTCCTGGCCAGAACACTGGAGTGGGTAGCCATTCCCTTCTCCAGTGGATCTCCTCAACCCAGTCTTTGAACCCAGGTCTCCTGCATTGCAGATGGATTGTTTACCAGCTGTGCCACCAGGGAAGCCCAAGAATACTGGAATAGGGAGCCTATTCCTTCTCCAGCGGATCTTCCCAACCCAGGAATTGAACCAGGGTCTCCTGCATTACAGGCAGATTCTTTACCAGCTGAGTTACCAGGGAAGCCCAAAAAACACACACGTAGGAGAACCAGAAAAATCTTTAAAAACTAGAAAAGGTCTGGCCTTAGGAAGTTTTTCCCCTCCTGCCTGGTGTAATTCCTCTGAGGTGGTGTAGAAGTACCTCAGGGCTCTAAGAGAGCTGGTCACTTGTGTCAAGAGGTTCTGATCTTCTGACTGTCCATAATAAAGAATAGTAAATGGTGAAGTTCCTTAAAGGAACAGCATAAGTTCTCAAAATGTAAGGTGCATCAGACTCCCCTAGAGGGTTTAAGTGCAGAATGCAGGGGACCCAAGAATCTCCATTTCTTCCATGTTTCCACAGGCACTTAAGGCGCCAGTCCCAGAATCACACTTTGAGAACCAACGGTATAAAGTACATGTGATTTAGTCACAAATATCTGGTGAGACAGGCCTTTCTGAGCACTCATCCACAAATAATGTCTCACTGTGGAGTGCCAGCAGCCTCTGCCACCTGAGAGGCACAGATTCTGTCTTTAGCAGTTATCAACACAGCACAGATCCTAATACCACACAGGGCTACTCTTTTGGATAAATCCATTTCCTCATCTGTACCATGGGTAAAAACCTATCTTCAGAGGCTTGTGATTAGGTTTAATAGAGAACACACAGCAGTTACCATATTCAAAACTTGCCACTATCCTCTATGCCCTTTATAGAATTACTTGTATCCTAACAAGTACTGGAATCTGTTCATGAGAACTACAGAGTTAAGGTAAAGTTAATACTGAGACAGAAATGTGAATTTGAACAGCCCTATCCTTGCCAAAAGCATGCTAGGGAAATTCCATGTTCTGATTCCTCTCCTCTAGGACTGTCAATGGCAGGATACCAGCTTTGGTCACCATGGACTCCACTGGATGAGAGCTTCCAATGGCTGCGGCATACAACACCTACCCCTTCTTCCAAACACCCCTTTAGGGCTTCCCCCTGCTTCCCACATACCCCTTCTGACCTTGAAGTGCAGCTGTGCTTTCAAGAGGTCACTCTAGTCCTAGACAGCCCATTCCTGGAGCCTGGGGTGAGCCCCAAGTTGCCCTGTCACACATCAGAGCTCCGAACCATGAACAACAAGAAAGGGCTGGTCAGGAAGCCTCAGCCTGTCCGCCTCAGTGGAGTGGATTCTGTCTTTGGCAGGGTCATCACGGCTCAGCCACCAAAGTGGACTGGGACCTTCAGAGTTTCAGACAAGTCAGCCTTTTGCAAAATCATTAGCCGGGAGCACCAGTGGCCCACTGGACTTAAGGAACCGCAGATTCAGATGACAGTGACCATGTGCAAACAGATGTTACGCTCCATCCTCTTGCTGTATGCAACGTACAAGAAGTGCACCTTTGCCTTGCAACATTCCAAGTAAAGGGTCCCATCTGATCCCTGTTCCTCACACCATGTCTTTCGCTATGTGCCTGAAGCTTACATAGAGCTGTCCCTGTAAAGGAAACTGTGCTTGCCCCAGCTATTTTGCTTTTAAGTCAGGTGGTGACAATTCAGGAGCCCTTCTCCTCCCTTTCCCTCCAAAAATGGGCCAGTGACAGAGCAAGGGAGGAGAACATTTCCAATGTACAGCTGAACAACCATTTGAAAGAGAGTCAAACTAGCACTGACATGTACATGTGATAAAGAACCATTAAACCATATATACCAATGAGCCTACTGTGAACTCATTTCAACACTAAAACCACAATGAGGTGGGGAAACAACGAATGTCAAGGAAGATTATGGATTCCTATGTACATGAGGGTGAAGGGGTAAAAAATGTGTATGTAGGTCAATGATTAAATAACCTACCCCACCAAAAAACAACATAAAAACCTAACCAGCCACACCCTAACACTACTGGAGAGTATAAAGTAGGTAGAAATATTAACAAATTTTAAATATTAACAGTCTGGCACTGAAATAAGAGCAGAAGATATGAAGAGTTCCCCATTTTAGCTGAAGTGTATGCTTAATGTTCTATTTTTAATCAACCAGAAGTAATTTTGTAGTATTCTTGTAACTAGATTATAGGTATAAGTCAGAATAATGTGGAAATAAAAATTATTTATGCAAAGTTAACATGAGTTGGATGCTGCCCTTTTCACCTTTGTCTTATATGTCTACATAACCACCAAAAACTTCAAAATGCAGCCAGACATTTGACTTTCTTTGAGCACTGAAAGAAATCTGCCACTCCTCCAAAAAGATTCCAAATGTGTTTTCATCTCAAATAAGACAGTCCTTTTAATAGGGAATATGTGATTTTAATTCTCCATTATTTCTCCACACAAACTCCAATTCAGTTCCACCTACGAAAGAAATTCGAAAAGGTAGCTGAAGCAGAACTTAGAATTTATTTGAAAACTGGTAAAAGCTTAAATTGTAAAATAAATCCAGAGTTTGAAAACTAGCTCCCAGAGCTGCTCGTGACTGTTGTGCAGCACAGCACTGCCATGTTCACCCGAACAGGTGAGCAGCGCTACATCCGTCTTTAACATAGGAGACACTGAGCCACCATCTTTAAGGTTAGTAGACAGTCTGTGTAATCCACAACTGAGTTGACTCAACAGAACCCCCTCTGAAGGACAAAACAGGATGCTTCCAGTTAGAAAGAAGGACAGGCAGCAGATCTGCAACCCTGAACACAAAATGGTAAGTGGTTGGCAAAGATGGGGAAGGAGCATCTTTCTGTAGTCTAATCAGAGTCATCATCACTCTCATCATCATCACTCTCTTGTTCCTTTTCTCCATCACTTGCTTTATCTTCTTCGCCATCCTAAGAAGCAAAGGATAGTTATTTTAGGTCATCTGAGCAACCCCATAACTTGCAACACTGCTCCCACAGCATGTACAACTAAACTGTTTCACTGTTAAAACCAATGATAGGTTTAAACCATTCTTTTGAGAAAAGAATCAGAGGCTGCCCCATTCTCGTATCATGGCCTTGAACCCAAGATGATAGAGGGAGCCATTTTGATGCTGACTTGGGCCATTTGGCAACCCAACCATGTGTGATTTTTACATAAGCCCACAGCCCTCCAGCACTACAGCATGTATGTGACATAGGAATAAAATAGGCATTCAGTATAGAATGAAATGCTGGTTAAATTCAAAATACAATAGGAATCATGCATAAGATTCTCTCTGATTTGCAAAATCTAATCTGAAAGGTTTGCTTAGGACAAAGCATCAAAGTAACAGAATATTGTCTGCCTCAAACTTTTTTATGAGAACAAGGTGGAGGTATTCGATACAAATGAAACGGAGAACCATGTAATAAAAGAATTTTTCATACTAAGTGGTCTTTTTGCAGCCTCAAATGGCATTACAAATTGTATCCAGAGCAGGGTTCTTAAGTCTGAGATTCTCGGTATCTATAACCTGCCCAACTGTAAGAACCTTTTATAAATCCATTTTTCTCTGCTGTAAAACCTCAACAGCACCGGGAGTGGCCCAGGAGAGCAGAAGGACCACCACTCTCAGTGGTGACAGCTTCTCAGTGTGTGCTTTGGCTTCTACATTTCTATTTTGCATATTCAAACAGCATGTTTAAATGGTTTAACTCATTCTTTTCAACACTCACAAAACACTTTGACCTCTTCCTATCTCCCCTCTAAAATGGTTTCAGATACAAATTCAGGGAAAATAAGAGGCTATAATGGAAGAGGATTTTCAACTGTATAACATATGGCACACCTTGAGATACTCAAGAGTGATTATAATATTGTGTGTATGTGTTTTTTTTCTGGCCCTCAAAGAATTCACTTAAGTGCAGAAGCCTTTTCTAGAGGGACTAGAGATGGCCACAGAAGGAAGTAATTATAAATTCAGGCAGGAAAAGTCCTGCACATACCTTTGCTGCTTGGCTCCCAGAGACGTGGAATGATGTATCACTCTCACTCTCATTTGCAGTGCTTTCCTGGGAATTCTGGGATATAATCTCTTCACCCTGAATGTGAATGGGCCAAGACAAACGGTGGGTTATAATGATCACACATGCGTCTCAAGGGAAGAAAAGCTTAAGTTTACAGGCAAGGCAAAGAAAGTCATTCAAATATGATCAAACATGGACACCAACCTGTGATCTAGCACCTAGAGAAGCGATAATCAACCCAAGGCTTCTGAGATGCTTATGGCTCTCATACAATATATAGTTGTTTTTTTAAAAAATTATTTATTTATAACTGTGTTGGGTCTTAGTTGGGGTGTGCAGGCTTCTCTCTGGTTGAGGGGCACGGACTCAGCTGCTCTCAGACATGTGGGATCCTAGTTCCCTGACTAGGGATCGAACCCACATCCTCTGCATCGGAAGGTGGATTCTCAACCACTGGACCACCAGGAAAGTCCCCAATATGTAGTTTTACAGAAGATTCATCTTTGTATTCTAGTATCATACTAGCTTTACAAGGCCAGATTGTATTGATGACTCAGGTAATGCTCAATACAATTCTAAACTTTCTCAAATACCTTAAAGTATGAGAACGTGAACATCAACACATCAACTATATACAGGGCTTCCCTGGTGGTCCAGTGGTTAAAAATCTGCCTGCCAACGTAGGGGACACTGGTTCAATCCCCGGCCTGGGGATATCCCATATGCCTCAAGCACCGTGCACCACAACTATTGAGCCCATATGCAGCAATTACTGAAGCCCAAGAGCCCTGGAGCCCAAGCTCCACAAGAAGAAGCCACTGCAGTGAGCAGCCTGTGAGTGGCAACTACAGAGTAGCCCCTGTTTGCCGCAATGAGAGAAAGCCCTTGAGCAGCAATGAAGACACAGCACACCCAACAATAAAAATAAATAATTTTAAAAAATTTAACCTTAAAAAAAAAACCCACACCAATCACAAATGGCCATTTAGAGGCTGAAAGAGAGTATAATAAGTGATTCAGGAATACCAAATCTGGATGAGGACTGTTTGGACTCAAACCCTTTCTCCACTCATAGCGCTGAATGGCAAGTTACTTAACCTCTCTGAGCTTCAGTTCTCATAGTAACAAGAGTAGCTAATAACACTGAAGTGAAGAAAGGAAGCTAATTCTCTGGGGATTTATTATTTTCATGTATAAATTATGAGACTCAGATAATATAAACATGAATGAGAAGGTCTTGGAATATATTTGAAAAATGGTGTTACATCAAAGAAATAGTATAAACAACACAAGATTTCAGCCCATCAGTCAGACAATTGAAAGAACTAAGAAATGCTTACTTGTTAAAATCAGCCAGAAAAAAAAAATCAGTACGGAGAATAATTTCAGGAATAGAACAAACTGGTTTTAGAATTAAAAAAACAAAACTAAACAACAAAAAAAGGTTTCTCCATAGTTGTAGAAAAAGGTTTTCCTGATCTGCTCCTCTGTGTCTGAAGCCTTTTATACTGATACATCAATGGTATGTTTTGGTGTCTCTGCTGCTGCTGCTGCTGAGGGGTGCAACCTGCAACCAGGGCCCAAGAGCAAAGTACCTTTAAGAGCTAAACAGTCACTTAAAAGAAAAGCAGTTTTGAGTATTAAGAGAGTGGAGCTTAGGTCACCTTCCTTAGATACTTTCCAGTGCTCTCACAAAGAACAGAAGAAGAGAGTAGGAGATTATCATTGGTGGGGTCCCAGGCTTACCTGCAAGTCCCGATTCTTAAGATTGCCCAGCCAGAAAGCCTCTCTGCAATTGTTGAGGATGAGCATGGCTTTCACTCGACAAACTAACAGTTCCAGGGTCTTTTTGAGCAAAGGCACATGTTTGGTGAGTTTTGTGTCCTGGTGAATCTGAATGGAAACAAATGCAACCAATTCATCTGCATTTATCATCGTGCTTTCATGTTTCCTATACAGAAACTTTCAAATTCCTAACACCCTAAACACTGAACAAGAACATAAACCCTGCCAGTATAGACCAGAGACACATTCCCCAAACAGTAGTCTGGTAGAGTACTCTGAAAATTCTCCAAGCCAGGCTTCAACAATATGTGAGCTGTGAACTTCCAGATGTTCAAGCTGGTTTTAGAAAAGGCAGAGGAACCAGAGATCAAATTGTCAATATCCGCTGGATCACTGAAAACGCAAGAGAGTTCCAGAAAAACATCTATTTTTGCTTTATTGACTATGCAAAAGCCTTTGACTGTGTGGATCACAATAAACTGTGGAAAATTCTGAAAGAGATGGGAATACCAGACCACCTGACCTGCCTCTTGAGAAATCTGTATGCAGGTCAGGAAGCAACAGTTAGAACTGGACATGGA